GCCACAGCACAAAATAGGAAATCCTACAAACCAGTAATTCTATATTCCTTAGTTGAAAGGGCCCATTATAAAACAGAAAGGAAAAAAAATCCCACTCTAAGATGCCATACCTACCTAAATAGCTTTTTCCAGGTCTAGAACTTCTCACCTCTATCTCACAGTGTTTCTGTAAGTCTTCAGATTGGGGGGCACATGCTTTTTTGAATTTTTTAGTGGGAGGTGTTATTACTTCTGATAACAGCCGAGAGGTGGAAAGGGCTTGAAACTGCTGTAGACAATGTTGAAAACTTCAACGTGTAGAAAATATAGTTCTCAAAGGAATGACCTATTGATGTGTGTCATATATACTGTAGTTATATGCTGTGTACAAAGCTCTTGCTTGGGTGTGCTATATGACAAACATGTAAATAAGCTTTATGTAAATCATGACTTTAAATTTCCTTTACTGTGCATGCAAAAGTTGATCAATCCTGAAATTCTGTTTAGAAGCTTAGAAATAACACTTTCTTTTCCACGTCGGTGTCCTGTTTTGTCGCCACAGTTAGCAGATGTTTGAATTTGGGTAAATGAGTTTAAAACACCACACAAGGAAAAAGAAACAACAAATGTCAGCTTCTATGGTTTGCTCTGGATCACTGGCTGTGGGGCACAGACATCCTCCCAAGGTAGTGTTGAGTTGGACTGACCCAGCCACATAACTCACAAGAATCTCTTTTCAGCACTCAAGATGTTCAGCTAAGTTCAACAGTGAAGCCTGTAGCTGGCAAAGCTAATTGGCATAGGCAGATGTACATTCATTAGTACACACTCTAAAACTCAAATCCCTATCTATTTTCACAATATAAAAGATTTAGAACCTTGGTGAAGGGGCTACATCCAGTATACATGACAAAATTGTGTCCTAATGTTTTTTGAGCAGTCTCTTAATGACTCAGGGAGTGGCTAGCTGAGCCACCAATGCCAGAAGTTTCCGTGACCTGAGAACCTCCTGCTTTCTGTCCTGTTGTGAGCAATTTGTAGTTTCTTGCAAGAGTCAAAATGTTTACATTAATTTCTGGCATGGTTCCTCAGAAACCTAACCAAAGTACAGAGAACAAAAAGCATAGTAATTTATATCATATTGCCAACTAAAACACATGTGACTAGGAAATAAATATAAAAATTGAGAAACATCCTTGTCCTGGTGGGTATCCCTAACATTACTGATAATAGCTTCTAAGGTTAAATCCAGATACATCAATTATATTAGAAGGAAAGTCAATCTCTGTCTGACTTAAATAACTTAGGTTTGATTCTCCTGGTTACACACATCTTATTAAGAAAGGGTTAATTTTCAGTGTGCTGAAGACAATAGGTTTCTACACATTAATTAGTAACATGGACTGAAGTCAAATTTAATAGCCCAAGAGATTTATTTTATTTTTCAAGACTCCCAATAAAACTAGCATTTGTTTTAGAGTCATAATGACCTGGCTTTTAACTGTGGCTGGGTGTTTCACTAGCTCGAAGTCATAGGGAATCACTTTAGCATCCATCATCTAGCTTTCACCCCCCTTAAAATGAAGTTAATGGCACTTGCCTTACAGAACTGACAAGTGTCCAGGGCATTGTTGATCCTTAAAAAAGGTTAATTGTGTTACTACAAAAAGGAAATTACTGATTTATCATTCACAAAAATTTGTATTGATTATATAATGTTCATAAGTAGTGATCACAAAATAATGCAATCTCTTGATTTGATGTATGTCATGAAATTATTTAGTATGACCAACGTATGAAGTACTGTTTATTACTTTGATACTACAGAAAAGAAACTAAGGAACAGAGAAGTTATGTAATGTTCTCAAGGTCATGCAGTAGAAACAGGAGACAAACCCTGCTGCATGACTGCAGAACAGCTTCTTTCAGCCCCTTCAGTAAGAGCCAGGGAATACTCATGTCAGAGGAGAGCGTTCACCTCACAAACACGAGGCCCTACTTCCCGTGCTAGGCACCAGTACCCCAAACATCAAGCATCCCCAAATCAAAACACAGAACCTATAACCTTTAAGGAGTTTCCAATATGGCGACAGGAAGCAATTACATCACCTGAAAGCTATGACTCAAAACCTGTGCTAGTTCTCTGGTTAAAAAAACAAAAGGTCTCCTTCAAACTCCTCTTATTTAAGAAGCACAAAAAATATGGGCTAATGTAATTTGTTTATGGAATTAATCAAGGTGCCTACATTTCAAATGAAGAATAAAAGCGTTACCTTTATGTCAGTCTTTTATGTGATTGCTCTAATGTGTCTGTGTCAAGATGTGTCATGAAAGGAATGTCTCTCTACCAAGAATATCAACTATTAGAACAAAATGTGGATCAATGCCCAAAGAAAATCATACAGGCAAAGGAAAGTAGGTAGAAATCCTGTTCAGACACAAAGAACAAACAACCAGGTAGATAAAGAATTATTGCCTCTGTCTTTTTTTGTACATTTCCCTAATATTTCCTGTTATAGTCTCCATTAATATCTCCCATTCTCTCAAATGCACACATACGTTAGGTAGGCTTATGAGAGATTACCTGAAATGATTTTGTGAGCTTTAAACATGAGGTGACTGTCATGCACTCTGAGGGACAGACTACTTACTTTTGTGCCACCAAACCCCCAAAGCAGCTGTGTATAATTCATACAACACACATAAAGCAAAATGACTATGTTGAAGGAAAATGCCAATCCTATTTCAATTTTAAGTATTTGCTTCAAGAACTATCCTGCTGACACTAAGTTACTTGTGTAAATTAAAACTGGACTACTAACCCAGCAGTAGGGTCTGCCTTTTATTCATTTTAAAGGGGAAACCAATTGTTAAGAAGCCAAATGGGCTGGTTAAAGTAATAGAATAATTTTCACGTCAGCCTGGGGGAAAGCTGTTCAGAGGAGAATTTTCTGTATCCTTTTGCAATGAACAATGGAAACCAAAAGATAACCAGAAACCGGGGGAAAATGGAAAAAAATTCATAATGATCTTTTCAAAGGCCATTTGGCATGCAATATAAAACTGTCTATTTTGCAAATATAAACCCAGCTATGAATGAAATTTCCCTGGCTCCCTGCAAAAAGGACCACTCTTAAGAGACACAGCACAGTGCTCACCTGATTCTGTCTGTTTGCTGGCACCCCTCAGCATGTGGCTGAAATTTGCAGGTGTTCTCTCAAGGTCTGGCTATTTCCTGATCCTCCTTTTAATTGACTATAATCCGCTCAATGAAATCTGCATTCCTCATATATTTGAGGTTAATTTTGCTTTTCAAGTGCTGTGGTGGTGACAGTCCTGTTGTGGGGTCTGGATGTGTTTCTTTTTTAACGAGGAAATCTGAAGGTATCTTGCAGTAAGACTTTGGGTACAACGACTTTCACTTGCTTATGTACAGAACATGTTTATATTGCTGTTTTCATTTCATCTGTTGGCTTGCCATTTCTCTGTAAGAAGCATCTTTAAAAATTGTTAGCAAATAACTGACATTTAATTCAGATCCTGCCTTGTTGTGGCTTACACATAACATTCCAAATATGATATTTTCCTTTTTTGATTCAGTCATTATGGGATAACATCAATGACTTATATAAAATATAAAAAGCATTTTGAGATCCATTTCACCTCTTTATCATCTTGATTTGTGCGGTTTATTCAAATAGTGTTTTTTTCTTATGAAATCATATAAGTAGGAACCATCTGGAAAGGTTACTGTGGAAACGGCAAGGCCTGAGGGGGGTGGGGCTAAAGAGCAAAAGATGCCATGACAACCTTTTTCGGGTTTCCCAGGAAACATGGGTTGCTATGGGAACTGCATCAGTCAGGTCCGAATTAGTAACTTCCGCTGGAAGGGGTGTCTGCCACTTTAATCTCCTTGTGACACCGAAGCATCTTATCTCTCACATACACTAGGAATTTTCGTGGTTTCTCTTGGCAGCACTGTAAACGAGTTTCTAGGCTGTTGCAGATGTCGGCTGGGGCACACACTCACAACTTCACTAGAATCCGTGTCTCGTCCTTTCAAAATGCTTTGCAAACTCCCAAGAGTTAATACTCGTATCAGGACATTTGGGCCATTTCCCTTTTGGTTCAAAGTTATTGCGAACCTCCAATTCTTAGAGGAGAGATTCAAACTGAAAGACCAGTCAAAAACAAAATAAATTTATGGTGGGTTTATAAGTCATGGCTGTAGTTAGACTTTCTGTCCACATATCTAGAGGCCAAGTAGTTAAATAGTAATTAAATCCACAAACAGAATGAAAGGTCCACCAAACAGGAGCATCATTTAAGTTCTGCCTCCTTGACTCAGTAAAGAAACAACTATCTTTTGATTTTGAGGTTAAACAGTTACTCTGAATCTTTAGTTTCATTTCCTCCCAGGATGTAGCTTTTCATAGGGCGTGCACTAGAAGTCAAGCTTTAATGCAAGTTTGTTGGTCACAAAATTAAAAGACAGGGAGAGAGAGAGAGAGAGGGAAAAAAAAAGAGCTGAGAGAATGCAGCCCACTTGCAGAACAGACACCTGTTTCAGTATGAAGCAGTAGGGAGAGGGAGAATGAAGTGTGCTTTTCCACTTCACGTCCTTTCCTTGATGAATGGTCTGGAGATGTATAAATCAAGGGTATACACAGACCAAGGGAGCACGTTCCACACAATACTGGGCACAGTATGTCAACGGTATCATATATTAGACATCAGTGAATATCTTTTTAATGTTGACACAGGAGTTGGGATTATTGTTCGTGGTGCACGTGGCAGTGGAGTTTCCCGTTTTGAAAGGTGTCTGGGGGAAAGCGCTGTGGTTCATACCCCCCTCTTCGATCACCATATACTCCGACTTACTCAGGGTGGAGTTACTCCGGGCTTTTCGGAGCTCCTCAGCTGAAGAGGAGAGGTGCTGGCAACTTCCCACGTGCATGTACTGGGCTTGCTCTTCCCCTTCTGTCTCCCGGTGGTAGAAGTAATTGAAGTTGGAAACAATTACAGGGACTGGCAGTGCAATGGTCAAGACACCTGCGATGGCACAAAGAGAGCCCACAATCTTGCCTCCTATGGTCACTGGGTGCATATCACCGTAACCGACAGTTGTCATGGTTACCACTGCCCACCAGAAGGCATCCGGGATACTGTTAAAACCCGAAGAAGGGTCGTCTGCCTCAGCAAAGTAGACGGCACTGGAGAAGAGGATGACCCCTATGAAGAGGAAGAAGATGAGCAGCCCCAGCTCTCGCATGGAAGCCTTCAGTGTCTGCCCCAGGATCTGCAGCCCCTTAGAGTGGCGGGAGAGCTTGAAGATGCGGAAGACCCTTACTAGGCGGATGACCCTCAGGATGGCCAGAGACATGGCTTGCTGCCCATTACCCTGTCGCTCAGCCAGCTCAGTGCCCAGAGTGATGAAATAAGGGATGATGGCCACAATGTCTATCAGGTTCATGATATTTCTGGAGAAGGTGGCTTTACTGGGGCAAGCGAAGAACCGCACCAGCAGCTCAAAGGAGAACCAGATGATGCACAGGGTTTCCACCACAAAGAAGGGGTCTGAAAAGCTGGAGGCCCCAGAGGCTACCCCCGACGTGCTGTTGTTGGTGGCCTCGAACACGTCCTGGGGCTGGGAGGCGGGGTAGTCTTTCTCGTCGCGGAACTCGGGCAACGTCTCCAGGCAGAAGATGACAATGGAGATGAGGATGACCAGCACCGACACGATGGCAATGCCCCGGGCCGGCCCCGAGCTCTCGGGGTATTCGAAGAGCAGCCACACCTGGCGCTGGAAGTCTCGGCGGGGCAGGGGCCGCTCCTCCTCCCGCAGGAAGCCCTCATCCTCACGGAACTTCTCCATGGCCTCTTCGCCCAGCTGGTAGAAGCGGATCTCCTCGGAGAAGATGTCGATGGGCACGTTGACTGGCCGGCGGATGCGGCCCCCGGACTGGTAGTAGTAGAGGATGGCGTCGAAGCTGGGTCGGTTGCGGTCGAAGAAGTACTCATTGCGAAGCGGGTCGAAGTACCGCATGCGCCGCTTGGGGTCGCCCAGCAGCGTCTCGGGGAACTGGCAGAGGGTCTTGAGCTGCGTCTCGAAGCGCAGCCCCGAGATGTTGATGACCACGCGCTCCCCGCAGCAGTCCTGCTCGCCCGCGGCGGGCAGCGCGGGCGGCAGCGGCTCGTAGCGGTCGCAGC